CGCAGCCATCCCCCTCCCTCCCCGCCAGCCCCCCCACAAGCGGGAGAAATAATGAGCGAGACCGGGCGGCAGCAGCAGCAGCGCCGAGCAGCCCAGGCAACGGCAGAACCGCTCCGGCAGCGGCGGCGGCGGCAGCACCAGCAGCGGGAGCGAGCGCAGCGCTAGCGCGGCGCGGGGACCGCCGCGCTCCTTCCCGGCTCCTGCCCTCCTCCGCCGCTCGCTCCTCTCTCGGCATCCACCTCCTTCCCCTCCTCCTGCTCATTCACTCTTTCCCTCACTCTCCCCTCCTCCTCGGCTTCTCCCCGCGCCCCGCCAGCCCTCGCGCTCTCCCACTCCCTCTGCCCGTCCTCCCCGCTCCCCTCCTCCCGCTCATTCACTCGCCCCTCTCCCTTCTCCACTCTCTCCCCCTCTCTCCTTTCTTCTCCTTCTTTCACCCTCCGTGTCTCACACCCCCTCCATTCCCCTGTCTCCTTTCTGACACTGCACTGCAGCTGCTCCTCAGCCCTGCCCCCTCCCCAGTGAGAACAAACCAGCAACATTGCTTTTTTTCTTAAAGAGATTTCTACTGATCCGATTAAAACAAAAACAAAAACAAAAACAACCCTTAAGAAACCCCAAACGCAAAAAAAAAAAAAAAAGAAAAAAAGAAAAGAAACAGCCAAAACAAAAGGGAGAACCTTCTCCCGGTAGCAGCGGCAGGAACTGCAAACATGATGGCGGCAGCTCCCATCCAGCAGAACGGGACCCACACTGGGGTTCCCATAGACCTGGACCCGCCGGACTCGCGGAAAAGGCCGCTGGAAGCCCCCCCTGAAGCCGGCAGCACCAAGAGGACCAATACGGGCGGTGGGTATCGCTTCCACCTCCCCGCTGGCCCCAACCCCCGCCGCCCGCCCCTGCCTCCCTCCCTCCCGCCGCCCGCCCTCCCTCTCGCGGCCCGGACACCTCCAGCCCGAACCCGGCTGCTCGCGCGCCCCTGCCCCGCGCCCCCTCCCCTGCACCTGCCCCGCTCCTCGCCGTCCCCAACACATTTCCATTTCTGTGTTTATCATTCATCAAAATGGCGACCAGTTTTTTGGAATAGATCTATCTTTCCATTTATTCGGTCGAGAGGCGGACCATTTAAATATTCTAGACCTGGGCAAGAGTCCGTTAAGGAGGAGGAGGATGACCCCCGAGTGAGGTGATGGCCGCCCGAAGATGCGCGCTGCATTTAACAGTCTGATAAAATAAATAAATAAATGGCACTTGGGTAGCGGATTGTAAATGATTGGGGCGCCTGAGAGTTTTTCCTCTCTCCATCTCCTTGCTTCGGGCCACAAGTAGTATGCAAAATCTTGATGAGTGCATGCCCTTACCTCACTTATATTGTCGGTGCAAATATCTCATTGATTTGTTTTCAGGGGTGTGCATATGAGGGTGGGGGTGTCTGGTTCGGTGACTTGTTAGTTAACATCCTGCGCTTCCTTGGAAGATGAGTTATAACGGGACCGGTATCGCTTCTTCATTTGTACTGGAGTCATCTTAACAATGCACCCAATGCATCGAAGCAGAGGTGAATTTATCTCCAGCATATACATAAGAGACGGATGGGGGTCTTGTGAGTGGCACACTGCAAAATTTGGAACACTCATTCACATTAGAAAGCTGGATTTTCTGGAGTGTTTCGTATTTAAAACATGATCAGGTGGACGGAAATTAAAGTTTATGGAGTTGGCTTTATTTTCTGAAACATTTCATTTTCTTTTTCTTGGTTCATCAACCCCCTCTCCGTTTTAAAAATTGTGGTTATTTTGGAGAAGGAACATTATCTGTTTGGTCACTTTTAAGTCTAATATAAATGACTTCTAAGCTTTTTAGTATTGTCAAAATTCTTTTAAGGTCCTTTAATTAATGAGCTTAAACGAGATCATGGTAGACTAAGAAGTGCTAAAGAAATACACCAGGATTAGTTAGATTTGCCAGTCCACTGCATTCAGTTGTCTCCTGGCAGTTATTGAAGGCTTGGAAAATACCGTACAGATTGGGTGAATTATATGGTGGGAGCATGGTTGTTTTGTACTTTAGGATACAAGCAATGGCTAATTGTAGTCCTTATGTGTTTGCTAATCACAAGCAAATATAGCTCATCACTACTTACTATTCTGGGATTTTTTTTTTCCTTCTTCAGTATGTTAAGTGAAGATTTGTCATCTTATAAATCCCTGAAGTTTTGTTAAAGGGTCAGTTCATTTCATTTTGCCATAGTAACCACAGATAGAATTGGAAGACTTCCATGTTTGGAATAACAACTGGAATTTAGTCATCAGTTTGTACAGTGCTGCAAAATAGTAGAACATGTTTAGATTTTAATATCATGTTTGAAAGTATAAATTCTACAAAATGGGAAACATTTTTCACATATTTATTTTTCAGTGTAATTGGCTTATTTTACTTCTTAAAAAATTTTAACTCCTTATTTCCTGCAGCTGTGTGCCCAATGCTTTAGTTGCAGTTTTTCTCTCTTGAGGGTGGAGAGGGGATACAAAGTTTAAAAATACCATGTTAACCAAGTATATTTCTTTGCATTTTTCAGAAGACGGCCAGTATTTTCTAAAAGTTCTCATACCCAGTTATGCTGCTGGATCTATAATTGGGAAGGGAGGACAGACAATTGTTCAGTTGCAAAAAGAAACTGGAGCCACCATCAAGCTGTCTAAGTCCAAAGATTTTTATCCAGGTAGGTGCAGTAGTAAAGAGATTGTTTGATGAATCCCTAAGGAGAGAAAGAGATCTACTTGTGTTGTGTGTTGTCTTGAAAGAAATTTTTAAACAATAGTGGAGACTTTTTATTTATATATTGCTGTATTATAGTATATTGTGGAAAAATTTTCAGAATATTCCTATTGTTGATTATGTCTTTTTCCTATAATTTTTATACTATGTATGTGATTTAGACCAATTGCAAGATGATTCTTTTGGGTATTTTTGAATACTTCTCATTAGGAAAAAAACTCACATTTAAAGGTAGAAACCTGGACAGCTGGCATCAGGAAATAGGGTTCTTCTTAAGTTTTCAGACATCATTGTAATGACAATTAGTCTAGAGTGAATTCGGGGGGGGGGGGGGGGG